GCCCACAGCGCTGGACTCCTATCGGTCACACAGGACCCTGTTTAGCATTGTTCTGAGCACAGAGGAGGCAACGCGGAGATGCTGAAGCACACAAGGAGGGTAGATGGGCAATTAGGTAGTACCTGCCTCATAAAGCTTCTAGGGCAGTGTTTCCTAAATGAGTGAGTTCATGCTGCTGGAGGACTACCTGATGGGCTAACTGTCCTGGGATATAGACCCTATGCTCTGGGAGTGTCCACCAGCCTTCCATTGCTCTCTTGCCCCCTTCTTTCTGAGCCCATTTCTTTTCCTGAGGAGTGTATTTTGGAGGTTTAGGTAATTCGGGCGCCAACATGATCCATGCTGGTGCTGCTTGTTCTTTAGCAGCCAGCTTGGCTGCGGCATCAGCACACTGGTTTCCTTCTGATACTGAGTCTTTCCCTTCCTGGTGGCCTTTGCAATGGATGACGGCTATTTCCTTAGATTCCCAGACTGCTTCTAGTAATTTTAAAATCTCATTCTGATTTTTTATTCCTTTTCCTCCTGCTGTCAAGTGTCCCTTTCCTTATAAATGGCCCCATGGACATGCAGGGTAGCAAAGGCATAGCGCGAGTCAGTGTAGATGTTGACATGCTTATTCTTACTGAGTGCTAGGACTCTTACTAGGGCCCAAAGTTCTGCCTCTGCACTGACCATCCTTCAGGTAGGACCTGTGCTTCAGTTGTCTCAAAGTTTGATACCACTGCATATCCAGCTCGTCTTTTTCCTTCATCTAAGAAGCTGCTGCCGTCTGTGAACAATACCAAGTCCGCGTTTTGCAGGGGCCTATCCCTTAGGTCTGGCTGGCTGGAATAAACCTTCTCTAGGACTTCCAGGCAATCATGCTCAGGGGCCCCCTAAGCGGTGGGTAGAAAGGTGGCAGGATTAAGTGTTCTCACTGCTTCTAATCATACCCGCGGATTCTCACACAACAGCCCTTGATACTGAGCCATTCCAGCATGAGTCAGCCAGTGCTGCCGCCTTGCTTCCATCAGGGTGACAACAGCATGAGGTACTTTTACATTTAACTTTTGTCCTAAGGTAAGCTTATCTGCCTCCTTGACTAATAATGCCGTGGCCACAAGGGCCCTGAGGCACAGGGGCCACCTGGAGGCAACTGGGTCAATCTGCTTGGAGAGATAGGCTACTGGTATTTGCCAGGGTCCAAACTCCTGGGTTAGAACTCCTAAGACTACCCCGCTATTCTTTAGAACAAAAAGATTAAAGTCTCCCGTCACATCTGGTAGCCTTATTGCCGGGGCTTCAGTGAGCTTTGCCTTTATGGTGATGAAGGCTTTCTCTTGTTTGAAACCCCAGTCGATGGGTGCCTTCTCTTCTCCTCTTAAAGCTTCATAGAGAGGCTTGGCCAGGTCTGAAAACCCTGGGATTCAAATTCAACAGAATCTGGCCGCTCCCAGGAATTCCCGAATCTGCTGTCGGGTGCTATGGACTGGGATGGCACATACTGCCTGCTTCCTTTCAGTCCCTAGCCTTCATTTCCCTTAGATGATCCGGAAGCCTAGATACTTGACTTCTTTCTGAGAAATCTGTGCCTTTTTCTTAAACACCCGATAACCTGTTTCAGTTAGTAGTCTCAGAAGGGCTTGTGTTCTCTCCCAGCACTGAGCTTGTGTGGAGCTGGCCAGTAGGAGGTCCTCTACATACTGGAGTAGAACATACCCCAAGTCCTGTCCTGGGAACTTAGACAGATCAGATGCTAGTGCTCCACTAAAAAGAGTAGGGGAGTTCTTGGCAGAAGTTTTCCCACTGCAGACACAGCTGATTCTCACAGCCAATTGGCCTGGAGGTCAAATCCTCCCAGTGATACCTACAACAATCAAGGTTTAACTACAACAAAACTGTGCACAAAGCCCACAAAGGGGTGCATCAACAGTGTCCACCTCAGGTAATTGGGGGGAAAGACACTGAGAAAAGCATTAAAAAAATGCAGAGATAAAGAAACAGGACACAAATGACAGAAATGGAGGAAAGCAAACTGATAGATATAGAGTTCAAAACCACACTTTTAAGGTGTTTCAAGAACTGTCTAGAAGCCGCCAATAAACTTAGTAAGGCCCTCGAAAAGACAGGTGAGACCGCCAATAAACGGAGTGAGATCCTCAAGAAATCTAGTGAGACCCTTGATGTTGTGATAAAGGACCAACTAGAAATTAAACATACACTGACTGCAATAAAGAATATTATACAAATCCCCGCGCTCCCTCCGCCAGTGTTCACCAGCGCCCGCGGCCTGGCGCCATGAGCGGCCTCTTCGGGCGCGCGGTGCTGAGGGAGGCGGTGTGCGGCTCGCGGGCCTGGGTGCCCAGCCTGCTCGTGCGCCCCTGCTCGGGAGGGCCCTCCTGGACCCTGGAGCGGACCCTGGTGGCCGTGAAGCCAGATGGGGTGCAGCGGCGGCTTGTTGGGGATGTGATCCGGCGTTTTGAGACGAGGGGCTTCAAGCTGGTGGGGGTGAAGATGATTCAAGCGCCAGAGAGCATCCTTGCTGAGCACTACCACGACCTTCAGAGGAAGCCCTTCTACCCAGCCCTCATCAGCTACATGAGCTCTGGCCCCGTGGTGGCCATGGTCTGGGAAGGCCCCAATGTGGTCTGTACCTCAAGGGCCATGATAGGGCACATGGACTCAGCTGAGGCTGCCCCCGGCACCATTCGAGGCGACTTCAGCTTCCACAATGCAAAAT